TCGCCATCCTTCCTTCTAAGCAGCACATGTATAGTCGCTATTTATGTTGTTGAAAAAAGGTATTTGCAATGAAGAAGTTGTTGGTCTTGCAAAATTCTATCACGCGATCTCTGGCGTTGTTTCTATCACCGAGGCCATATTTTCCAACTTTCACATTTCAACCACCAGTAGTTATCAATGCATCTTGATTGCATGTTTCATCAATTTCAGACTGTAGAAGTTGGTAAAAATCTTCAATTTCTTCATCTTTGGCCTTAGTGGTTGGTGCATAAATTTGAATAATAGTCGTATTAACTGGTCTTCCTTGTATGTGTATGGATATTATCCTTTCACTGACAGCATTGTACTTCAGGATAGATCTTGAAATGTTCTTTTTGAGGATGAATATAACACCATTCCTCTTCAATTTGTCACTCCCGGCATAGTAAACCATATGATTGTCCAATTCAAAACGGCCAGTACCAGTCCATTTCAGCTCTCTAATGCTTAGGATATAGATGTTTATGAGTTCCATTTCATTTTTGATGATTTCCAGTTTTCCTAGATCCATACTTCATGCATTCCACGTTCCTCTTATTAACGGATGTTTGCAGCTGTTTCTTCTCATTTTGAGTCGTGGTACGTCAGCAAATGAAGGGCCAAAAACCTTGATTCCAACTACGTCATTAAGGTCAACTCTACTTTGATGAGGCAGCTCTTCCCCAGTTGTATTTTGAGTGCCTTGCCATCTGTGGGGCTCATCTTCTGGCACTATGTCAGACAATGTTCTGCTGCTACTCATAAGGTTTTCAATGGCTACGTCCTTTCAGAAGTAGACCACCAGGTCCTTCTTCCTAGTCTATCCTAGTCTGGAAGCTCAGCTGAAATCTGTCCACCATGGGTGACCCTGCTGGTATTTGAAACACCAGTGGCATAACTTCCAGCATCACAGCAACACACAAGCAACACGCAGCTATATGATTCCTAGCTAAGATTACTTAGATGAAGAAAAATTGGTAGAGGGCATTGACATACATTGGAAATATTTCACTGTCCAGTTCTCACTCAAGGACACAGTGCGAAAGAAGGAAGGACTCAGAGCCAAGCTAAACCAGCATCTAAAACTAGCACCAGTCTCAAAGGAAGACTCATACTTGGGAGAATAAACTCTCAGAAAATTCAGAGAGCTGGACAGAGTGAAGTGAGAGGAATGGACTGCTATAAGCAGGTCAGAACTAAGACTGTGTCCTATGAGTAAGCTCAGACGTACCTTCTTAACTATAATGCCAGCTGGAGAGGTGTAGGGATGGAGTGGAGGTAGCAGAGACAAAGTTGCTGAAGGAAGTAAGGCTATCCTGAAGGGTGATTTTAATAGTACATGGAGGAACAGAGGAAGGAAAGCCAGGTAAGGAGCAGTGGCAGTTGTTTGAAGGGCGGGGCATCTGAAGCTTACTCTGGGTTAGTGGCAGATCTGAAAGACATTATGAAGGAAGATTTTCAGGACTCAGTGATGAAACTAAAGGTGCCCAGAATAAAGCTGGCACAGATGATTCAAAGGTTGAGGCCGTGAGGCACAAAGGAAAGAAAAGGGAATCACCATTTACTGAGGGTCTGCTGTTTGCCACACACTGTGCTAGGTTGTTTGCACCTGTGAGTTAAGACTGCCAAAAGCCCTGTGAAGTCAGTATCAGAGGAGGAACTGACAGAGGAGGAAACTTCATTTATTCATTCAACCATATACCCAGCTAATTTATTGAGTCTCTACCACTGTGCTAGATGCTCAGTGCAGACTGGTACATAAAACAGACTTGATTCCTGCCCTCAAGGAGTTTATATACAATGAATATACAGATATACAATGAATAAACAAAAAATGAAATATGTTAAGGATTGAATTGTATCACCCAAAAATAGTAAACTAACCTAATAGTAAATCCTAACCTCTATGCCTGTGGTTATAATCCCTTTTGGGAATGGGTTATGTTAATGAGGCAGGATTAGTGTAAGGTGTATTTTGAGTCCATCTCTTACAAAACATAAAAGGAGCAGATTAAAGAAGCAGAGATGAGGGAAAATAGGTGCCAAGCCACATGGAGATCTCCAAGGAACCAGGAAACAGAAGTTGCAGAGACAAGGACTTTCCCTCAGAGCCGACACAGAGAGAAAGCCTTCCCCTAGGGCTAGCACCCTGAATTCAGACTTCTAGCCTCCTAAACTGTGAGAAAGTAAATTTCTGTTTGTTAAAGCCATGCACTTGTGGTATTTCTATTATAGCAGCACTGGATAACTAAGATAAACTGCTATGAAGGAAATGAACAGAACACAGTGATTAAGAAAAAGAGAAGATTGGATAATTAAGGAACACCTTTCTGACGAGGTGACATTTAAGCAGACACCTAAAGGTTTGAAAACAGCCAGCCATGTGTGAGGGAGAAAAAAACATTCCAGGCAGAAGGAACAGCATGTGTGAGAGCCCTAAGGCAAGAAAGAGCTTGGCGTGTAGGGTCACCCCACCCGTGAAGAAAGAGTTAGGATTTGAACCCAGCTTCTCCTGGTTCCAATGCTACGACAACAGTGGAGAAAGATGAGTAAGGTGGTTCCTCTGTATTTGAAGTGTTAATGAAAATGTCATTTTTAGTTGATTAAAATTCCATTGTTTTACTTTTTAAAAAAGGTTGAACATCCATTATTTTTCCTCTTGGGTCTGAAGGGGTCTCTAAGATGGGAAAGAAGCATGGGCTCAAGAGATGTGATTTATTTAGACTTTCAAAATGGTTGGCAAGGGTTTATATCAATGACCATGGAAGTTATAATGAAATCTTCCATTTAGATAGCCCTTTCTAGCTTTCAAAACACTTCCATGTTCATCACACTTGAACTCATTTAATCCTTAAAACAATCCTGTGGTTCAGATTCAGATTCAACAAATGCCCACTAGGTGTCAGGTACTGAGAGCATTTGTTGAGTACCTTCTCTGCACTAAGTACTGTGCTGGGTATTGAAGACACTATGGTGAGTAAGAAGACACACAGTCCCAGTTCCCTGGGCTTACAGTCAGGTGGAGGACAGAGACATTAATTAACTAATCTCACCAATGAATGTATAATTATTAATGAAGTAAGTGCTCAGAAAAAAGGAAGAGATTTCCAAATGGGTGTATTAAAAAAAAAAAAAAAAAAGGCCTAACCCAGTCTGAAAACACTTCTAGACAAAGAGATAATAACTCATGAGCTGAGACCTGAAGGATGAATAGGAGTTAATTAGGCGAAGGGGAAGAGGAGTGGGGAAAGTGGCTAGAGAAGAGTCTTCTAGAACAAGGAAACACCATGTGCAAAGACCAGGTGGCAGGAGGGAGCACAGTGCCTCTGAGGAATTAAGAGAAGGCCAGTGTAACTGGGAGGAAGAGAAAAGAATGTGAGATGCGATGAGAGAATTTGGCAAGGGCTAGACCAAGCAGGTCCTCATAGATTGCTTTAGGAATTTGGTCTTTAATGTAAGAACAATGGGAAGCTACTGAATTGTATTTAGGGCAGTGACTTGATCAGTTTGTGTGTGGAGAATGGATTGGAGGGAGGCCAGAGAAGATGTGGGAGACCAGTTAGAAGGCAGTAGTTCAAATGAGAAATGATGGGACTTAGACCAGGGTAACTTTTCCAAAATCCTACAACTATGTAGTCAGTGTCAGAGATAAATGGAACCTGGACCACATTTCCCTGTCCAGTGCTCTTTCCATTAGTTTGGAGGAGGGAGTCAGAACCTGATCAGGGTGAGGAAGGCGATCCTGCAGGTAAGTAGCCTGGCAGGGGGAGTCACAGCCCAAACTGTGAGATGGACATCCAGGCAAAGGAGGTAGCCCAGAATGGGGGGTCAGAGACCAAAAAGGGAGACGAGGGCATCTGCAAAGAAGAAGGAATGGAAGTAGAGATGGAAGGTTGGTTCATACAGGGAAACTGATCAAAGATATGAATATAATGAAGATGGAAGCTAGCATTCTCACTGTCAGAGAAGGGAGCTACAAACATAGAATGGGAGAAGACTTGATTGCACCTTCTGGTGGTGAACTGGATTTGGATGTATCAATATGGACTCATCGTTTTCTAGGTAGGTGGATAGATAGATACAGAAATATAGACATAATGTCTGTATATATATGTATATACTTATAAACATAATTATATTTACATATATTCCCTAGTTCTGTCCACTGAAAAGGCCTGAGAGCAACAACACCCCAATAGTAATGAGCACATCTAGCACATAGCTCTTGGCTTCTAAATTCCATTTTCCACTAAAAGGATCAGGGCTCCTTGGAAAAATGTTCCAAAAGCAGAAAAGTGTTCAAAGAATGATGGGGCATGTCAAGGAGACACAGAAGCCAGCTTGAATGGGGTCTCATTGGCCAAATCTGGGATAGTTTGAAGACCAAAGTAATGATAGTAATGGATTATAACCTACTGAATAAAAGAGGAAATCAAGAGTCTATTCTGATATAAATATATAAATGAATGCATTAAAAGCTTGATGAAGAATGGAATATTTACAGTTTCAAACTACCTCCCCATAAAATACTTGCTAATTACAAAATAACTTTTAATTATAAAGTAATACTTATTAATTACAAAGTAATAATAAAAAGAGTAACTTGACAGAGGAGAAGACTGGCAGATACTATCTTAATAAAGTAATCAAAACGAACATCATCAGTAATGGAACAAATTGAAAACGTGCCAACTGATAGGATGAGATGAGAAGAATGCAGCATCACTTTTGTGATTTTCCTGTCAAAGCCACATAACTTGAATCTAGTCATGAGGGAGGAGACATTAGACAAACCAAACTGAGAGACATTCTATAAGATTCCATAAATCTTCAAAAGTGTCAAGGTCATGAAACCAAGAAAATATTGAGGAACTATTTCAGAATGGAGAATAGTATCACTGTCAAGGTTGGACTTTGGCCATTCATATGACCCAATATAGCACCTCTGAAGGCTCCAGGGGTCTCTTGTCAGTTTCACTTACCAAGGCTAGCCTCGGACAACAGCAGGTAAGCAGGCACAAGCTCTACTGAACTCAGGCCGTACACATTCATACGGAAGCGAAGAGAATGTAAAGCTGCTGGGACAGCTTCTTCATGTTTTCCTTCAAAGAGATATTTCTGGGCTACGGTGTAGCAGAATTCAATCAAATGCTTCTGTGGAAGAAAAAAATAAACCATGTAAGACAGTCTAAAGGTAAAAGTCAAAGGTCGATATAGACACACCTGGAGATAAGACCAACAGCTAATGAACTGGTTGCAGGCACATAGTGGGTCTGCCTGTATTCGGGTGCGTATGTGATCCAAAATAGGTGACATAAAAAGGCAAAATCTGGACTGTGAGTTCCTCAAGGACCACTAAAATGTGTATTTTCATCTTAAATCAGGGTTTGGCATATGTGAGTGCTTCAATATTAAGTTATTAAATGAATAAATATGTATTATTCTTATATTCCTAATAAAACCTAAGTTTAGGAAAACTACCAGGTCTCATGACTATCTAAAACTTTCTGCCTTTCTATCTGAGCTAATTTTGGGAGAAAATTCTTATTTTTCCTTTGGATTATCCTGCTTAGCTAATATCAAAAGTTACCTTTAACTCTGCATTGTTCTAAGACCACTATCAACACTAAAACTGATGAATATGGTGTTCAGAGATTTATGGTTTATAAAGGGCTAATTTTTTGAGAGTAATTGAGATGCTGTCAATGCCACAGTAGTAGGGGCTATTTTTCTTGATTTCCTTTATTTACTCCTACATTCATACATCATGTTTTGACCTCCTATTATGTGGCCAGGCTCGTATCACAGTACTTAGCATAGGCAAGAATTCGGTAAATATGTGGAGAACATACTATGAATGGTACTGAGGACATAAAGACATAAAACAACATCTCTACCCACCAGGAACTTACAATTGACTGGTTTCAACAAAGTACAACCTTGTTCTGGGCTGTTTTGCTGCACCCATAAGTTAACCCTGTAATAGTCCTATAGGGCATACCTGCCGCTGTTGCAGCTGTTGCAGGCCGTGCTGCCGTTCTTCTTCTGAATTGTAGAAGGGCATGGAAGTGCGCAGAGGAATCAGGAGCTGACATATCTTCTCATGGATGCTGCCCCAGTCAGCTCTTTGATGCACCACACCACTGACAATAAAGACATGGACTTTATTATCTTTATCTTTGGCCTAACCCAACATCTAAGATCCTCTTGGCCATACTACTGGTCTAGTCCTAGACACTAGAAAAGTAAGCCCAGTGCGAACCAGGCAGGAGGCCAAAGCCATTTCTGAGACACAAATCTCTTTTCTTTCATGTGGTTATTTAGAGATGTGTTGGGAGTTGGGAAGAGGTAGGGGGAGGATATTGTTTCTGAAGGCAGATGTTCAAGTTCCAAAGGCACACAGGGATGCTGTGGGTATTCTGCTTAGTTAATAACAACAAGCAGTAAACAAAAATAATAACAAGCTGGACTACATGAAGCATGTGGCATCAGGATTGGAGGAAGACTCATTAAAAACCTGCAATATGCAGATGACACAATCTTGCTTGCTGAAAACGAAGAGGACTTCAAACACTTAACTGATAAAGGTCAAAGACTAGAGCCTTCAGTATGGATTACACCTCAACATAAAGAAAACAAAAATCCTTACAACTGGACCAATAAACGACATCATGATGGTCAATGATTTCATTCTACTTGGATCCACAATCAACACCCATGGCAGCAGCAGTCAAAAGACACATTGCATTTGGCAAATCTGCTGCAAAAGACCTCTTTAAAGTGTTAAAAAGCAAAGATGTCACCTTAAGGATTAAGGTGCGCCTGACCCAAGCCATGGTATTTTCAATCACCTTATATGCATGTGAAAGCTGGGCAATGAATAAGGATGATGGAAGAAGAACTGATGCCTTTGAATGATGGTGTTGGCATAATGAACATACCATGGACTGCCAGAAGAACGAACAAGCCTGTCTTGGAAGAAGTACAGCCAGAGTGCTCCTTAGAACCAAGGATGGTGAGACTTCATCTCACATACTTTGGACATGTTATCAGGAGGGACCAGTCCCTGGAGAAGGACATCATGCTTGGTAAAGAAGAGGGCCAGCGAAAAAGAGGAAGACCCTCAAGGAGATGGATTGACACAGTGGCTGCAACACTGGGCTCAAGCATAACGATTGTGAGGATGGCGCAGGACCGGGCAGTGTTTTATCTGTCGTACAGAGGGTGGCTACGAGTCGGAATCGACTTGAAGGCACCTAACAAAAACAACTGATTGTGTTCGGCATCTTTTCATGTGCTTATTGGACATTTGTATATCTTCTTTGGAGAAATGTTCATTCAAATCCTTTGCCCATTTTTTAACTGGGTCCTTTATCTGCTTATTGTTGAGTTTTAAGTGTTTCTTATATATTCTGGATATTAGACCCTTACCAGATATATGATTTGCAAATATTTTCTCCCATTATGTGGGCTGCCTTTTCACTTTCTTGATAGTGTCCGCTGATGCACAAAAGTTTTTAATTTTGATTAAGTCCAGTTTATCTATTTCTTCTTTTGTTGCTTGTGCTTTTAGTGTCATATCTAAAACACCATTGTCTAATCCAAGGTCATGCAGATTTACACCTACGTTTTCTTCTAAGAGTTTTATAGTTTTAGCTTTTATATTTAGATCTTTGATTCATTTTTAGTTATTTTTTGCGTATGATGTGAGGTAGGGTCCAACTTCATTCTTTTGATCTCTAGTTGTTCCAGTACCATTTGTCGAAGAAACCATTCTTTCCTCCGCTGAATGCTCTTGGCACACTTGTTGAAAATCCTTTGACCACAGATGTATGGATATGATTTGTCACTCTCAATCCTATTCCATTGCTCTATATGTTTATCCTTATATAAGTACCATACTTTCTTGATTACTATAGCTTGGAAGTAAGTTTTGAAATCAGGAAGTGTGAGTCCTCCAACTTTGTTCTTCTTTTTCAACATCGTTTTGGCTATTCTGTTGTTGTATGCCATCAGGTTGACTCCAACTCATAGCGACCCTATAAGGCAAAGTAGAACTGCCCCATAGGGCTTTCCTAGGCTGTTATCTTTACGGGAGCAGATCGACAGGTCTTTTTTCCCACGGAGCCAGTGGTGGGTTCGAACTGCTCATCTTTCGATTAGCAGCCCAGTGCTTAACAACTGTGCATTCCTTTGGCTGCTCTAGGTGCCTTGAATTTCCATGAATTTTAGGACCAGCTTGTCAATTTCTGGAAAAAAAAAACGCAGTGAGAATTTGGATAGGGATTGCATTGAATCTGTACATCAGTTTGCGGGGGAGTAGTGCTATCTTTACAATATTGTTTTCCGATTCACGAAAATATCTTTCCATTTATTTGGGTCTTCTTTAATTTCTTTCAACAGTGTTTTATAGTTTTCAGTGTACAAGTCTTGCACTTCTTTGGTTAGTTTATCTCTAAGTATTTTATTTTATTCTGATTCTACCCGAAATGGAATGGTTTTCTTAATTTCATTTTCAGATTGTTCACTGTTAGTGTGTAGACATACAACTGAGTTTTTTATTTTGATCTTGTATCCTGCAACCTTGCTGTACTCATTTATAAGCTCTAATATTCTTGTAAATTTTTAAAGATTTTTACATATATAAGTCATATAATTGCAAACAGAAATAGTTTTACTCTTCCCTTCCAATTTGAATGCATTTCATATTCTTGTCTAATTGGTCCAGGTAGAACTTCTAGAACAATGTTGACTAGAAGTGGCAAAAGTAGACATTCCTGTCTTGTTCCTGATCTTAAAGGGAAAGCTTTCAGTCTTTCACCATTAAGTATGTTACCTGTAGGTTTTTTCTGTTGTTCATGGTGTTATGTACCCTCCAGTCGATTCTGACTCCTAGAGACCCTATGTGACAGAGCAGAACTGCCCCATAGGGTTTCCTAGGCTGTAATCTCTACTGGAGAAGATTGCCAGGTCTTTTCTCACACGGAGCCACTGGTGGGTTCGAACCGCCGACCTTTCAGTTAGCAGCTGAGCACATAACCATTGCATCACCAGATGCCTTGTGGTTTTTCACAGATGCCCTTTATCAAATTGAGGAAGGTCACTTCTATTCCTAGTGCTGATTATTTCAATCATATTCTCAAATACTGTTTCTATGTCAATTAAAATGATCAAATACTTTTTGTCAAAAGCTTTTTCTGCATCTGTTGAGATGATCATGTGGCTTTGGTCCTTTATTCAATTAATAGGTATATTATACTGATTTTTATATGTTGAACCAACTTTGCATTTCTGGAATAAATCTCACTTGGTCATGGTGTATAACCTTTTTATATGCTTCTGGATTCAGTCTGCTGGTATTTTGTGGAGGAATTTTCTATCTTTAATTCGTAAGGGATAATAGTCTTAGCTTTTTTTGTGATATATTTGTCTGGCTTTAGTATCTAGGTAATATTAGTCTCATAAATGAGTTAGGATATGTTCCCTACTCTTCCGTTTTTTGGAAGCGTTTGTGTAGGACTAGCGTCAGTTCTTTAAACATTTGGCAGAATTCATCCGTGAAGCCATCTGGTCCTGGGCTTTTATTTTTTTATTTTATTGCTGTATTTTAAGTGAAAGTTTACAATTCAAGTTAGTCTCTCATACAAAAATTTATACATACATTTTTATGTGATCCTAGTTGCTCTCCCTATACTGTGACAGCACACTCCTCCTTTCCACCCCGGATTTCCCATGTCCATTCAACCAGCTCCTGACCTTCTTTGCCTTCTCATCTCGCCTCCGGACAAGAGCTGCCTATTAGTCTCATGTATCTACTTGAGCTACGAAGCACACTCTTCACGAGTATCATTTTACGTCCCATAGTCCAGTCTAATCTTTGTCTGAAGAGTTGGCCTCGGGAATGGTTTTAGTTTTGGGCTATCAGAGAGTCTGGGGACCATGTCTTCCAGAGTCCCTTCTGTCTCAATCAAACCATTAAGTCTGGTCTTTTTACTAGAATTTTGCTTCTGCACCCCACTTTTCTCATGCTCCATCAGGGACTGTCTGTTTTATTCCCTGTCAGGGCGGTCATTGGTGGTAGCCAGGCGCCATCTTGTTCTTCTGGTCTCAGGCTGATGCGGTCTCTGGTTTATGGGGCCCTTTCTGTCTCTTGGGCTAATACTTTCCTTGTGTCTTTGGTGTTCATCATTTTCCTTTGCTCCAGGTGGGTTGGGACCAATTGATGCATCTTCAATGGCCACTTGCTAGCTTTTAAGACCCCAGATGCCACTCACTGAAGTAGGATGCAGAACATTTTCTTAATAAGCTTTGTTATACCAATTGACCTACATGTCCCCTGAAAGCTTGGTCCCCAGACCCCCGCCCCTGCTACTCTGTCCCTCGAAGTGTTTGGTTGTATTCAGGAAACTTCTTAGCTTTGGTTTAGTCCAGTTGTGCTGACTTCCCCTGTAGTGTGTGCTGTCCTTCCCTTCACCTAAGATAATTCTTGTCTACTATCTAGTTAGTGAATACCCCTCTCCCTCCCTCCCACCTTCGTAACCATCAAACAATGTTGTCTTCCGTGTTTAAACCTTTTCTTGAGTTCTTATAATAGTGGTCTCATACAACATTCATCCTTTCGCGATTAAATTCACTTAGCATAATGGCTTCCAGATTCCTCCATGTTATAAGATGTTTCACGGCTTCATCGTTGTTCTCTATCATTGCGTAGTATTTCATTGTGTGGATATACCATAATTTGTTTATCCATTAGTCCGTCGATGGGCACCTAAGTTGTTTCCATCTTTTTGCTATTGGGAACAGTGCTGCAATGAACATGGGTGTGCATATATCTATTCGTGTGACAGCTCTTATTTCTCCAAGATATAGTTCAAGGAGCAGGACTGCTGGATCATAGGGTACTTCTATTTCTAGCTTTTTAAGGAAGCACCAAATCAAATTCCAAAGTGGTTGCACCACTTTACATTCCCACCAATAATGTATAAGTGTTCCAGTCTCTCCACAACTTCTCCCATTCATTATTTTGTGTTTTTTGGATTAATGGGGTGAGATGGTATCTCATTGTAGTTTTGATTTGCATTTCTCTAATGGTTAATGATCGTGAACATTTCCTTATGTGTCTGTTAGCCACTGGGCTTTTCTT